CATTTTTTTACAACTTTATTGATGTATAGTTTATACATGTTAAAATTCACCTGTTTCCAGTGTGTAATACAGTGATTTTTAGAAAATTTATTGATTTGGGCATTACCATAAATCAGTTTTAGAACATTTTCACCACTCCAGTAAGATACCTTATGCCCAATTACAATTAATTACATTTCTATCTCTAGTCCTAGGCAACCGCTAATCTACTTTGTCTCTAGCTTCGCCTTTTCTGGACATTTTATATAAATGTTATCATATAACATATGGTCAGTTATATCTGGCTTCTTTCACTTAACATGCTATTTTTGAGGTTCATCCATGTTGCAGCATGTATCAGTAACTGATTCCTTTTTATTGCTGAATAATATTCTATTATATGGTTTTATTCACCCATTCACCGGCTGATGGACGTTTTTACAATTTCGTGCCATTATGAGTAACGTACCTGTGAACATTTACCTGCAAATCTTTGTGTGGACATATTTTCATTTCTTGTGGATTAATAAATTTTTAGCTTATCTTTTTAAACAAGTCATTACTACTTATAGGGAGATTCTTAAAGAAGATGAATCAGGATCACTTAAAGCTACAATAGAAGACATTCTCTTCAAAGCAAAGAGAAAAAGGTATGTAAACTCTTTGTAAGAGTGTTACAAAAAGCCTTTCTGTCCACCTATACCCACTCCTCAGTACTTAAATTCAGCTGTGTTTCAAGGAAACTGACCTGTAGCCTTCTGAATAGGGGGAAGAAACCAGCCACCTAGTGCCTCTGCAGGGAAATGGGTTTTCAGAGACTGTCCAAAATGCCTATAATTATATGGATCCTATAGTTAATAATTTGTTTCAGTGAAAAAATGCAGGTTAGTTAAAAAGTTGCATTAAGTTTTTGGATAGTATATGGTATTCCATTAAAATGTTTGCATAATTTTAACAGAGTATTTGAGCACCATGGACAAGTTCGACTTGGAATGGTATGTTATTTTTTTCCTTTACTGGTACAGAACTATTTTGGGGCTGAGAAACATTTCATTGTGATAGAGTAAACAGTAGTAAAACAACAAACCCGTTACAAGACTATGTTAAAAATATATGTGTAGAATATGTGAATACTAAATGCTGTTTTTACTACTTGGTCAAAAATGTATTTGAAAATTGTCTTTATTTGTATTTTTTTCTTGTAGATGCGCCATCTTTATGTGGTAATAGATGGATCAAGAACAATGGAAGACCAAGATTTAAAGCCGAATAGACTTACATGTACTTTAAAGGTCAAAGAAAAATTTTTAAAGAATACGATCTATTTCTTTTGTTGTTGTTGTTGATATAAACTGTAGCTAAGTAGAACTGCTGCAGATCATTTAGGGAACTGATACACCAAAATGGCTAATTACAGTAGACCCCCCGCCCTTATCCGTAGTTTCAATTACCCATGGTCAACCCTAGTCTGAAAATATTAAATAGAAAATTCCAGAAATAATTCATAAGTTTTAAATTGCATGCCATTCTGGGTAGGATGATGAAATCTCACACTGTCCCACTCTGTCCTGCCCAGTCCCACCTGGGACATGAATCATCCCTTTGTTCAGTGTATCCTTTCTCTTCGTGCAGTACAATAAGATATTTAGAGAGAAAGAGCATGTTCACATAACTTTTACTACAATATATTGTTATAATTGTTCTATTTTGTTATCATTTGTTCTTGTTATTCTCTTACGTACCTAATTTATAAATTAAACTTTATCATTGGTATGTATATATAGGAAAAAATAGTATATATATAGTTTAGTACTATCTGTGGTTTCAGACATCCATGGGAAGTCTTGGAATGTATCCCTTGAAGATAAGGGAGGACCACTGAATTTATGCCCTTAATTTCTGCCTTCCCACCCCCGGTCAGGATCTTGCTTTGTCAGTTATTTTTTTTCTTCATTTTCTTTTGAGTTACTTGAATCAATCTCCTTAGTTTATAGATACATTCAGATTATTCCTACTTTATCAGAACGCATCCTCGATTCTGTTCATTCTCCTTTTCTGTCTTCATTGGATCTTTTCCTTTTTTAGATTGTGTCTGTCTTACATATCCAAAAGGTTCCATCTTTTAAGGCCTAGCTTAAACCTATCTTATCACTTATCATTTCAAATTCAGGTTTATTTACTATTTTAATTTTTATTTAATATTTTAAAATTTATCATTTTTTTAATTTATATTTTTACTACTGAACATTTTTTGAAAAATCTGTTAGCTTAAAAATCTTGAGAAGTGGTGCTTGACAAATAGGTTTCCCAAAACATGTTCTCTATGGTTATTTTGCTCTTATCTAGTATTTCCTTTTTGTTTTTTTAAACAGTTGTTGGAGTACTTCATAGAGGAATATTTTGATCAAAATCCTATTAGTCAGGTATGTAGATAATCGATGAAATTCAGAATTAGATTCCTGGTATTACTGCCAAATGTAATTTATTTTTAAAACATTGAGTATATAGTCTATGAATTATTAAGTGATTCAAATTGCATACCAGTTTTTAGTACACTTGTCAGTGAAAAGCAAGATAACACTAAGAGTTAAATTATATACAGTGAACTCAGTTAAATTTATATCAAAAACATGAGAAAAAGTTTCTCACGTTACTTATTTTTTTTGTAATTACTAATTGATTTTAGTACATTCTCATCAAGAAATAATTTGTTAAATAATAATTAATAATCATTTTTGTTTTTATTTCGAGATTGGAATAATTGTAACAAAGAGTAAAAGAGCTGAAAAACTGACAGAACTATCAGGTACGCATAAAATACCTTTACAGGACTCAAGGACTTGGCTTAATTTACCAAACCTTGTATCCCTGTTCATAAGATTGCCTAGTAGGTAAAATGAAGCCTTCCTATATGTTCTTTATGTGAAACACCTAATAAGTACTCCATTAAACTCTCAATATCTAAGGTGAACTTCTTTTCAGTTGAGTTCTGCACAGTGGTGAAGAGTATTACAATGAAAGCAAATGTGTTTATTTAAGATCTGTACATTCCTATCTCAAAAGTATTAAGATAAAGTTATTGTAACCATTCAGAAAATCCCCTTAATCTTAAAATTAATTTTTTAAGAGTTAAATCTCTAAAGAGCAAAGAATATAAAAAAGTGAATTGTAGTTATTGTAGGAAGCTGTATGTATAATTAAATATCTTCTGGAGATTCTGATAAGCCTCTTGAAGGCACCCTTTTTCCCTCTGATCAGAATCACTGCTATAAACCACACTGACAGTAATGTAATATGCTTTTCTTTCCCATATTCACAACACAATGGGAGATGAAAAAAATATTTGTCTGGTATTGTAGAGAAGTGGATAGAGAGCTAGGAGATCTAGGTTTGAGTGCTGGTCTCACATTATGTAGGCATATGACTTTGGGCAAATCGTTTAACTTGTTTGGATTGTTTCCTACTTATGAAATAAGAGATTTGAATTTATTGAGGTACTTTTCATTTCTAAAATTTTATGATTCCAAGAATAGATACTTGCAATATATATTAAATTTGGCAAATGGTTAATATTTTAAAACTTAGATAAGTAAGAACACTCAGAAGCTCCAAGTAGATGAATGGACAAAGAAGACAGATAATTTTATACTTGAATAAAAAGAGAAACTAAATAACTACTAAAAAACATTAGCCAAACAAGTGATCAAAAACAAACAAACCACCCAACAACATGTTATCATTATATATCAAATTATCAAAACGATGTTTCAAAAGCAATATATTACTTGCAGAATTGTGGAGGAACTGGTACTTATAGTGCTGATAGTCTGGTTAATTAGTTTAACATTTTTGGTAAAAGAGCCATAAAAATGATTGTTCCTTGGAACTATACTTAGGAAATGTTATAAAAGAAGAAAAAAACCTCACTCTACAAATATGCTCTTTGTGGCAGTAAGTGTAATCGTGACAAACTGGAAAAAACATGTTTAACAGTATGTAGGTAGTTCGACGAATTATACTATATGAAAAAATCAATTTAATGATTTAATTATTAATTAATATGATGACAGTGCTGAAAAAGGAGAAAATGTCCAAAGAATGCCATATTTCATTGAATCTCAGATTCTGTCATTTGTGAGATACCTTTAGTTTATGAGCCATCAAGAAGGAAACACCCTAGCAGTTAAACTTTGATACAATATCAAATGTTAGGTGAATTGTTCACAGCAGCTTCTTGGTGATTTAACATGTTTGTCAGCTATTCTAAAGAATTTGGCAGGTTCTCTTCCTTTCATTTGTCTTGCTTGGCAGGAAATAGATAACCTTTTCAGATGTTATTTCCATAACAGAAGATAATACAGCTTTGTCTATTTGTGGAACTCCTCCTTTCTTAGGTCTTATAAAGCTCTGTGATTTGCTCCTGAAGAAAAATATAGAATTTCAGACCTTCTTCTATCAATGAATTTTTGCTTCACTGATAGTAAATTTACATCTTGCTGCTCTGTTCTGTGCCTTTCTACACAGATTTAACCCTTTGTATTAATAAACTTGCTACAGACACTTTCAATTACAGTTAAACTCAACATGAATAGCACAAACAATGAACATAATTCAGCTGAAGCAATAACACATTGGTAGCCATTCATAGATTCACACATGAGCAGGCAATGACAGCAGTGTCACAAAGGCTGCCAATAATGATAAAACACATCATGATTTCAGAAATGTTAAAGTGTGAAATATATTAGTCTTGATGAAACAGGGAAATATTAAAAGTAAAAAGTTGAATATTTTGGGTTAATATTACTTAAAATGCGTGCTAATAGGTAAAAAGATTATTTGTACAGCAGGTCTTTAAATAATGTCACGTTCAATGTTTTGTTATAACGATGTAGGAACTTGTTTACATCATTTAGTCTATGGTAAAATTGTTCTTGTACATCGTTTCACTTAAAGTCACAGAATCTATCAATGACGTTAAGTGAGGACTTAATATATTCTATTTTTTAGTATGAAGTGAGAGACATTATATAACAAACATCTCTGATAAAAGTACAAGTTGCTAAAAATATAAATTGAAGGGATTCTGTTTTTTAACATTGTAGATATGTAAATTTTGTGAGAGACATAAATTCCCTTAATGTATATATAAAATTTATTAAAAGTAAATTATTCCATTTCTATTTTAGGAAACCCTAGGAAACACATAACATCTTTGAAGAAAGCTATAGATATGGCCTGCCATGGAGAGCCATCTCTTTATAACTCTTTAAGCATGGCTTTGCAAACTCTGAAGTTAGTGTTTTACATTTATTATTTATAATTGATTTAAAAGTTTTTTGAATGAGTTAAGTTGAAATGAAAAGATGCATATGTTAATATGCATCTCTGTAAACCCAGCTATAATGAAGTTGCTATTAAGATAAATATTTAATGTCATTTAGGATGTTTAGTCTGGTGTCAGTAATTTTTATTTTACATTTTTATTGATGAGGTATGTCCTTAAAGATTTTAGAAAAATATAATTAAAACTGTATCAATATTAGTAGTACAAAAGAAATATGGTGATGACAAAATATTTTATTGACAATTGTATGTGGAATTTATAATTGTGAGTTTGTACGTGTATTGACTTATTAGCTTATTTTATAATATATAAATTAATAGCACTCTTTTCCAGCAAGTTCAGCTTTGTGAAATATAATTAAATCCCGAGAGGAAGTATTCAATGTAATTAAAGCTCATATATTTTGTCCCTGGCTAGTCTGTGCTGACTCAGATTTTTCTACCCTTATATAATAGATATTTTTCTGGTTTTGTAGTAGGCCACAATAGCAGCATCCAGAAGTGAAAATTGAGAGCCTAACAATGAAGGTATAAGCAGGAAAGCTATAAATAACTGATAAAATTGCTCCTAAAGCATAGAAATATCTATTTAGGGGAAAACAGCTTAGCACGTCTTAAAATAAGCCACCGTTTAATTAAACGGTACACGAAAATTAATGTTTGACTTTTATGACTCTGAATCACCATGAGGTTAAATTATAGTCTTTAAAAAAAACTATGTTACTATTGTCAAGCCACATGAATGTACCTTAAAGTTGATCCATATGGTATTGTCATACTTTCCAGTGTACACTTTAGACTTTGAAACAAATCTACTAGAATGTAAGTGTCACGATGTCAGGAACTATATTGGTCTTGTTTATCACTCTATTCCCAGAACTTAAAAGAGTATTCAGTAAACATTTATTGAATAAATAAATGAATCAATGAATTTTTTTTATGTACAGCTAATGTTAGAAAACTTTACATTAAGATGTTTAGAATACTCACAATTCATTCCTTTGCAATGTTGAGACAAATGAGATATTCTATAGTCTAAATGTATAAACCATGTGTACTATTCTTTTTGAGTAAATTTTCCACAAAAGTAATTTGTTATACCTAATTGAAGTGTATTTTATCTTTCTTTAGACACATGCCTGGACATACAAGTAGAGAAGTACTAATCATCTTCAGCAGCCTCACAACTTGCGATCCATCTAATATCTATGATCTAATCAAGGTAGAATCAATTTTATAATTAGTTTTCTTTACAATGCTAAAGAAAATTTTTTAGTGAATTTATTACCAGTTTTCAGAGCATTGTATTTTTCAGATACATTAATTGTTCAATGCTTTTTTTCTTTCTGCAAAACCCTCCATTTACTTGGATTCTACGAAGACACTAAAGGCAGCTAAAATTAGAGTGTCTGTTATTGGATTGTCTGCAGAGGTTCGGGTTTGCACTGTACTTGCTCGTGAAACTGGTGGTATGTATCTAGAATCTTCAATATTTACTCATAATTATGTAAGAAGTACAATTTATTAATTAAATTGGACAGCCATTAAACTTAAATCAGTGCATGTCCTGAAGTCTATATGGGTAGTCATCTTAAATATATCTTTGATTTTATAAGATACTATCTCAAAATGCAAGGAATTTTCATTAGTTATTTCAGTGTTCAGAGGAAGCTTTATAACTCTTGAAAAGCTGGAAATTTCCCTATATGTGAAATTTTATAACTTAGCTTTAAATCGTAATTATAGTTATTTGTAGAGAAGTCAATTTAAAGATTTTAAATAAGATTTTTGAAAATGACAATTTAACTTAAATATTATTTTGAAAATGTACATTTTCAGATAGTAAAACTTTTACAGAATTACATAGAAATTATAATTCATTCTTATGTCTGGAAAGCTGATTTTATTTTCTTTTACTTTTCATCTTATTAGGCACATACCATGTTATTTTAGATGAAAGCCATTACAAAGAATTGCTAACACATCATGTTAGTCCTCCTCCTGCTAGCTCAAGTTCTGAATGCTCACTTATTCGAATGGGTAAGTGTTTATTTTGTGTTATTTTAAAATACACATTAACCTTCCTTCTTTCCTTCCTTCCTTCTTCCCTCCATTCTTTTCTCACTTTCTCTTCTTTTTTTTTTTTTCTCATTTCACCTTTCCAAATGATCAGACTTAAATAATATGTTAAATCAGTGCAATAAAACTAAGGAGAGAACCCATTTTCTGTCACCTGATGTAACAAATTTTCACAGTAACAGCTCCTAGGGGGCTCTACTCATCTCTAATTTCTTATGTGAATGAAGCCTTTCCCAGTGGCCCTGGAGAGAACAAATGGCTCCCTTCACCACACTTTCATTTATATTTCTCTTCATTTCTGCACTTACTAAAATATTTGAAATTTTAAAAAAAGATAAATAAAAAAATAAAATACACATTAAAAAATATATTTTGGCTCAAACGAGACTTCTCTTTCCATTTGCACAAGTTATTTTAACATTTAAGAATTTTTATAATTAGAGAAAATTATGCTGTTGAAGCAATTTTGGAAAATTGTGAAGTAAAAAAATTAAACTACTTGTAGTCTTATCACTCAGAACACTACTGACATTATTGTTAAGGCTAGAAAGGTATAAAGATACTGCATTTATAGAAAAATCCTTGTTGTATTAGGAAATTTACAAAAGTATAAAATCCTCTGTACTATTTGATCAAAACTTGTAATACACACTGCAAAGACACAAGGTTGCTGGAAGGTACATCAAACTGCTCAGTGTGATATTTTTGGGGAGAAGGAGAACGATAGGTTTTGCATCATTTAAAATTTTATTTTTGTTTTCCTTTATTTTCCAAAAATTTTATGATGAACATTTAAATTTATAATTGAAAAAGACGTAACTGTTTAAATATAAAAAGAATCTCCTTGTTTAATATGCATTTTTTTTTAACTGTCAGTGAAATTGAATGCTTTTCTACCTTGTTTTGGGCCATTTATTATACTAGTCAACTGCTCTTTCCTATTTCCTCATCTGTAAAATTAAATTAGTATCTGTCTCACTGTGTGTTACTAGGATTAAATTAATACAGATGAAGCATTTAGACTAATGCTTGACATAAACACTCAATACATCTTAGATATTATGTTGGCTGATCTTTTTTTTTGATTTACTGATACATTTCCTAGCCCATTTTAAAGTTATTATTTACTCTTATAATAATTTATTCTTCAAATTGTTTTGTCAGAACCATTTAGGAATATCAACCCATTTTCTGTCACCTGATGTAAATATTTTTTCAGGTGGTATTTACCTTTTATTTGTTTTGATATAGCGATAGATTTAAATTTTTATGTAATGAAATCTTTGTTTATGGTTTCTGCTTTTCTTGGACTTGTCTTCAAATTTAAAAATATATATGGAAAACAAACTCCCTGGGCTTGGGCATTCCAGAATTTTAACATAAGTGTATATACTTAAATAAAGTGAAAAGAGACTATGTAATAGATTCTTTCATTGTATCAGGAACTATTTAAAAATTACAAACATTTTCTTTTTAAAAAGCAGTATGTATTTATTGTTATTAAATTAGAAAATATAGATATGAACTTTTGCATCTGAGACCATATGTATAGACAGACCTTTCTCCCATTTCCTCCACTTTTAATTTTTCTTATAATCTGGAATTGTAGTCAGTTTGACTGTGTAGTAATAAACATATTTAAAAGACAGGAAAGAACTTTTGTATAACTTTGTAGGCTCTGTGGTAGGAACATTTTTAGGTTCCTAGCCCTACAATTTTGTTATTTGCTTAGAAAAAGAAAGTAATATATTTTCTTCTATGAAGGATTTCCTCAGCATACCATTGCTTCTCTGTCTGATCAAGATGCAAAACCCTCTTTCAGCATGGCGTAAGTAAAAACCTTGAAACTGTCAGTGATGATACTTTTACATTTTTAATTCCCTACTATTAGTTTTAAATGAAAAAGATGGCTTGAAATGTAATGGCTTTGTAAAATATTACCTTTTATATAGCTGTAAAAAGAAGTGAGGACTATGTCTACTGTTGTGGAGTAATGTTTAGGAAATATTACTAAGTAAAACAAGGTAGAGAAAAGTGTATAGCATGCTACCAATCATCTAAGAAGAGGATGGCAATTTGAGTAGATATACATAGTTGTTTATATTGATAACAAAAATAGTTAATAGAAATAAACGAAAACTAAATGTTTATGTGGGCTTTGTGTGGAGAAAGGCAAAGGGATAGACCCTAGGCTTTTCTGAATATACTTTGTTTTAACTTTGGAACTTTACATTTTACATAATTATAAAGCAAAATTAAATTTAAGAAAGTAATTCTTTAATAATCACAATTAATACTACTGTAAAGGTATGCCAGCTGTAAAAGTATATTAGGGACTGGATTTAACTGCCTGCTTCCTGCCCGAAAACCAGACAAAATACTTACAAACAGTTTTCAGACATTGGACAATAGACAGTTCAGATAATAATCCCTGAAAGAAGAGAAACAAATGAGGTAGACCCTATGATTGCAGCTTACTGTCCAGAGAGAATTTCCAAGCTGCAGTGCAGGGAGGGAAAACTCACACAGAGCCTAGAAGTCTTGCTTAGTTGAAGAAACAAAGTTCAGCATTTGGGGAGGCAGATGGCGTAGAGTACTAGAGAGTAAAGAGCTGCACACAGAGCTCTCGAGATCTGCAGAGACTTCCCCATGAGTTATTACCTGAGTATTGATCAGCACATTCCTGTGAGGGAACTACCGGGACCAGGGAAAGGAAAGGAGAACACAGAACAGCCCCTAGAGCTCACACGGGACAGGGTATAGCTCATGTTCCCACCAGTCAATTTGGAAAGACCTCTTAACACAACAGGCACTGAATGGAGTCCACAGTAATGGAACCAGATTAACCTTAGAGTAACAGCTAGTCTGGACATCCTAACAAACTTAAAAGCACATTTTGAACAGATCAAACTATTTCCAAATTACTTAAGTATAATCCAGGAAAAGCCCTAACCTATTGAAGGAAATACAAAAAAAATCCAGCACCCAAAACAAAGCAAAATTCACAGTATCTGGCAGCCAAAAATTACCAGGCATGTAAAGAGGTCGGAAATACCCATAACAAGGAAAAAAATCGTAGAACAGAAATGTATCTAGAAATAACACAGTTGATAGAGTTAATAGACAAAGCGTAAAAACAGTTATTAAGTGTGTGTGTGTGTGTGTGTATATATATATAGCTGTTAAAACAGCTATTATGTATATGTGTGTGTATATATAAACACACATTCCATATGTTCAGGAAAGTAAAGGAGAATATGAGCATGATAAGAGATATGGAAGATAGAAAAAAGACCCAAATCAAATTTCTAGAGATGAAGAATACGATGTCTGAGATGAAAAATTAACAGCATATTAGTCACTGAAGAAGAAAAGATTAGTGAATTCATTGACACTAATGGAAGTTCTTCAAAACAAAAATGCAGAGAGAAAAAAAAAATCATAAGTGAGCTATGAAAAACTTCAAGATTTCAAAATCAAGGTAGCATACTTTCTTTTTCTCTAACTGTTGACATCTTTATATATCACATTTTTAAAGTAATATTTTTCTCCCCACAGGCATTTAGATAGCAATACTGAGCCAGGACTTACATTAGGAGGCTATTTTTGTCCACAGTGTCGAGCAAAGTACTGTGAGCTTCCTGTTGAATGTAAAATCTGTGGTAAGAAACCAATTGTTTATTATTCAGTAAACTAGTCTTGAATAACTTCTTACCTATACTGCTAATAAAATAATGTAAATATTAAGCTCTGCTTGTGTTTTCAGATTTGAGAAGTAGATTACTTTTATCACCAAGTGCCCAGTACTCTATTTCTAAGAATAAATATAGCGTTCTAGAAGAGTTTCCTGATTCTCTGAAAAAAAAAAAAAGTTCTTTAAAGGCATTGCAGCAGATCTAGTAGACATTTTCATAGCTCTTAACTTCATAAATATATATAAAGAATAAGGAATTAATATAGAATTTTATTTTATTTATAAGTAAGCAATAGGCAAAGAGAGGTCACACACTTGGTGACAGAACTGAGACACCATCTTGGAAACTCCTTTAATGGTCATAGGTAAACTGAAGAAATAGATATTTGCAGTTCTAAAAAAACTTGAAAAGAATTTAGCCTAAGTTATATCATTTGACATTTCAGCCATTGTTGTTATAACGTTTGGGCTATTGAACATGTCTCTCTGCTTTATGTGTTAGGTCTTACTTTGGTTTCTGCTCCCCATTTGGCACGATCTTACCATCATTTGTTTCCTTTGGATGCTTTTCAAGAAATTTCCAACGAAGAACATAATGGAGAAAGGTATATAAATTTTGATAAACTTATATCTGTTATAAGTAGTAATGTTTGAATACATCATTACTACATTTGAAAAGATAATTGTATTAACTTGGGCAATATTACTTCTAATATAGAAAATAAGATGTAGAATTGTCTTGGTTATGACTGAAATAACTCATTATTTAACAGATCTGGCTCTTCAGAAGTCTATTAATTTCTTTATATCTACTATGTAAGAGTAGTGGTATACTAGTAAATCAGCTCCCCAAAAGGAAAAAAGAAACGCCCTGATTTTTAGCATTTGCTGATTTCCATGATGTGGAACTAGAAGATTTATCCAGAAGTTCTGATAAAATAATATGAGACATAAAATGTCAAATGAAGAGTAAGAAGAGAAATAGTTCAAGGGTATTTTCTACCATGAAAGGACAGAACTTTCTGGATTGAAAGGGACTGTCAGATGCCTGATATATTGATGGAAAACAGACCCACACTAAAGTATATCATTGTGAAATTTCAGAATATATAGCAAAGTACTAACCCTAAACATTTCTAGAAAGGGAAAATTAGGTCACATAATCTGGAATTAGAATTATTTGGTTCTCATCAGCAACACTGGATGCTGACAGGGAGCAATTTCCTTCAAAATTTGTAGTGAAAACTATTACTAACCTAAATACTATACCCAGCCAAGCTATCAATTAAATGTAGGTAGAATTAAGACATTTTCAGACTTAAAAGGTCTCAAAAAGAGACTTTCTGGGGAAGCTGTGGAAGAGATGCTTCAAAGGAACTGAGAAAGAGAATGAATGAAAGAATAGGGATATCTATCTAATTCAAAAGTGGCCAAAGAAAGCTCTAGGGTTATGATAAGGGAAAAGCCCAGACTGGCTCTTGTGTGTCAAATATGTAAACAGTCAGTTCAATTTAAAGAAGATCAGAATGCTCCAGGAGATATGTCACAAGTCGAAAACTATAAAATTTCTAATGTAGTCAAACATGATGAGAGGATATTTAAACTTCATAGGGAAAGGTTGGGGCTGAATTAATGGTAATTACGTAGAAAACTAACTTCGTGAATAACTATAATTATTAACTAGGAAAAATGTTTTAAAGAGAAGAAAAGTTGTATTACATGGCTCAGCTGAATGTTTATATAGTCATAATAAATTAAACATTTAACATCGTCCTGTCCAAAATGATTTAACTGCATAAATTGAGAATGACATTAGTTACACTTGTACATGCTATTGGTTCAAGAGAGTCGAAAGAGAATTAAATTCTCGTCTTCTGTAGTGGGAGGTTCATGGCCAGTGCCTATAAAAAAACAAGACGTAGCACTATAAGCATAACTATAAGCATAAGCAAACAGTTAAATGTTTGAAAGTGCTCTGGGGAACTGGAAATAAAGAGAGAGGTGGGTAGGGAGGGAACTGCTATTTTGGGGAATAAGTTTTGACAACTTTTAACTGTTTAAACCATTCCTTGAAGATTAAGCCCATATGCATCCATTATATACAACAAGTTAACTTCTCTCCTTTCCATCTAGAATTGTGCCAGCTGTTTTATTATCTTTGGGAGAACTGAAAAATAGTCACTCAAATCATTCTCTGTAGGGTTGGATTCTCTTGCAGAATCCCAGTTGAGAAAGTATGTTTATATTTAACCTTGATGAAAATAAAATTAGGGTTGGCTCCATAGTGTAGTGGTTAGCACGTCTGCTTTGCACGCAGAGTGTCTTGGGTTCGCGCCCCAGGTGGAGTCACGGACCATACCCGGCTTGCGCCAGGCCCCAGGTGCATGCCAGGAGCATGTGGGAGGGGATGCCCCACCTTCAAGAGATCCAGTTCTTAAGGGAAAACGGCAACATCCATTGGTCAGAGGTGGAAGTGGGGGGAGGGATTAAAGAAGAGGGAAAAATATTAAATTTTTTTAAAGTAAGATTTTGAGCTGACTGTGGAAGTTTCTTAAATTACTGGTATTCTTAACTCTCCGAAAAGTCATGTATAAATTAATTTTAAATAAAATTACTTATTAATTAAAGGATTTTGTTATTGAGAATTTGCAGAGCTATTTTAATGAGTAAACTCTAAGCAAAATGATTTTTAAACTTTTTCAGATATTGTTATGGATGTCAGGGGGAATTGAAAGACCAACATGTAAGTTCATGTGTTTTCCAAATATTAAGTATTATACAATAAATAATTGAAGAAATAGTATAAGTTTTCAGTAGATTATTGAACACTGGGCTCATATCAGGTTATTCCTTAGTTGTATAACAGTGAGTGGAGATAAAATGGGAGGACAGTAGTTTAAACAGTTATTTAGTAATTCTGCATTCTAATTTTGCTACAAAGATATTTCAGTACTTTAAATTGTCTTTAGTTTCCCAGCTAAACTGCATTTAGTTTGGAAGTGTTAAAAGTTCTTTCTCTGTATTGTACTGTTATAACCCATTTTGAAGTTACCATTTAAGGTGGCCACAAGACCAAAGATTATGCCTCCATTTTGTGAATGAGGAAATATTTTAAAATTTTTTGAAGGGGGCCAATTTCAATGTATAAACTTATTAAAAAATGCAAATAAGATCTAGTTTTATTTTTTTTATTAATTTAGTTACATGTCCATATTTAAAACTGAACTATATAAAATATTAGTTGGAAGGATTGCTTGTTTATTCTACTCTCAGAACATTTCCTAAAACAGTTTTATAAAGTTTACGTGCCTTCTTGATGTCAGTAGTTTCATCCTCATTAGAACCACTTTTTGAACTATTTGACAGTTTTTAAGAACACATCTTTTTTTCTATGCTGTTTAAGATGTAATGATTTTCGAATCTGTGTATGGTGCTGCCCCGGAAATTTTACCCCAGGCACAAGTATCCACATACTAATTAATACTAATAGAATAATGAGTTTTTCTTTTTATGTGTCTTTTGTCATATTCTTTAATGGTTTAATTAAAAGGGGAATATAACTTTTGCAATTGTGAGGTCATTCCCTAGAAATGACTAAATCTTTGTTACATTTTCGTGCCTTTCTTTTTCATTGAATCAGATGACCTAAGCATTCAGAACTGGTACTGATTTCAGGTTCATGTGTTTTCCCCCAAATAATTACTTAAAATGAAGTAATTGAAAGTATCCTATAATATGAGAGACTTTAAGGACTCCAAAACAAAGCTATTCTCTCATTTCTAAGGAATATATATATTTTTTTTTTTGGAAAAAAATATATCATCTTAGATTTGAGACTAGATAATAAATTAGAAGTAACAAAGCAGGTAGGTGAGTAAGAAAAAACTGATAGAGATATGAAAGAACACAGCAACTTGAGTGTCTTCTAGCTACAGTCTGCTTACTTTTAGGAAACTACTTTTTAAATTTGCTTTTCTTCTTCTCACTACAGGTCTATGTTTGCCCTGTGTGCCAAAATGTTTTCTGTGTGGACTGTGATGTTTTTGTTCATGACTCTCTCCACTGTTGTCCTGGCTGTATTCATAATATTCCTACTCCTTCAGGTATTTGATTCCAGCATATAGTACACATTGTATGTGTTAAAAACAAAGTTGCAACTGTAAATAAAATGATTTTTTAGAAGAAGCTCCAGTTAAAACATGAAAAATAGTTCAAAAGGAACATCTGATTGAAGAACTTTTTGCTAAGAAAATGTAGTATTTTATTGAATTTTAAAATCTGTATCCTGTCACAGAAATACCTGGAATTCAATAGTCCTTCTGTCATATAATTTTGTTTTCTTTTATTTTGCATTATAATGTTTTCAGAGTTGTAATGCTTTATTGTATTTGTTACTTATAATGATTAAATTAATGTGATAATTTCATTTTTTATAATTAAATACAGAATTTTGGTGATTTATTTTTATTTATTTTTAGTGTAAAAAGGAAATTACGTATAAGTGTAAATTCAGTGTAGGATGAAAATTAATAATTATGAAATTGATACGCGTGAAATCATATGCTGCTACACCCACCCAAGGGATCTTTTTTGGCTTGACTAAATAATCAGAATATAATTATAAAATTAATATACCTGAAATTATTTGTGGCTAAGACTGACAGAGGTCTTTTTAGACTTAAACTTTCAAACTCACAAGATTACCATCGCTATACATGGCACCAACTTACTCAAAAGAATATTAAACAGGAAGAACAGGCTGCCAGTAGAGCAGCATCAGGCAGCCCCATTAGCAGTGGAAATCCTTGTAGCAGTTCAGCCAGCACATTTTAGGTACATGACGATGAGATCCTCCAAGGCCTCAAAGAGCCAAGATATCATAACAATTCCATAAGCACAACTTCCAGGTTCCCCCGTAAGAGACATGCCAGTTTCAAGAGTCATCACACTCAGGAAAGCCTAAAGCATGAGGTTCCCATCAAATTATTTATAGTACATTCAATTCATATACAATTTAGTAATCAGGGGTCATTTTTACCATAAGCAAAGTTGCCTAAAAATGTAGTTGACATTCCTCTTTATCAGTTACCATGATAACAGAGCTAGAAAACTTAACTGAAGGTGAGATTTATGTGGAGTGAAGGAAAAGGTCTTCTTAATCTTTTCAGTCTCATATGCTGAACTTATTGCTTTAAAGCTTCCTCTAATTGGTAAGTATTTTATTTAATGGAGTGTATCTTAATACTACCATTTTGGTTGTTTGATGTCTGAGGCTGGTTTACCTTACAGTTCAAGCTGATGAAAGTTGTGGTATCCATCCCTGTTAGCTTCACTCAACTTCATACCCAGGGACTATTTAACTTAATCCTCTTCAACTTTTTGACTCTAGGTCATCAGAAAAACTTAGGTGAGAAAGTGTGATGAGGTCTATTTCAGGTTTATTTAAATGTGGATATACCATTATAGGCATAACTCTTTTCAGAGTATACCCTGTTGAGTGTGAATCAGGTTTCCATAGCAACGGTATTTTTATTTTAAATGTGTAAACTAGTCACTCTAGATTGAGTTTCTCTATGATTCATGATTTAATAAATAACAATCCTTAGAGAAGTACATTATCAGAACAATTTAATCCCAATCTGGAGCGAGTCTATTCAATAAATCTTGGATGGAGCCCAGGAATATGCACACACATCCAGAACATAATGTGACCAAAGTCACAGACCTTTCTCCCAGGAGTCATATTCTTTGAAACTAGACCCAAATGGTTCTTTATGAAACTATTTATGGAAACAGATTTCAGCTCTAGGTAACAAGGTAATTGCTGTCTTCTTCCTTCTCTGTCAACAGAGGTATCAGTGGCTTATAGGAGATGTCTTTAACATAATCGGAGTATTCTATCTCCCCCTACCTGACTTAGAAGAAAGGCCACGAGGGATCACCTCTTGAAAAGTTACTAGAAATATATTAGATGTACACCCTCACTACTGTATAAAAAAGGAATATTCAGTGCATTATTTTGCCTGTATACTTGATAAGGTTAAGGTGGATATGTTAGTTAGGCTTAAGGAGGAAATTCCTTTTTCACAATTATAAGGAAAGTCCTGTCTTGTTTAAAGTTGTTTGTTTGGTTGGTTGTTTTTTTAAATGCCTACTGCACCTGGTATTCTTAGGTGGTCTCCAATCCAAGTACTAACGAGGCCCGACCCTGCTTAGCTTCCGAGATCAGACGAGATCGGGCACGTTCAGGGTGGCATGGCCATAGACCTGTCTTGTTTAAGATTACAGAAATAGAAATAGTGTTCTAAAACTATTAATTCTGGCCTTTAATTTCCCTCATGGAACTCCACAGTATACTACAATAGTGAAGGAAACTTTAATTTAGAGATCTTTTTGAATAGTATATTTTTTCTGAGTTCTGCTGATTAAATAGAAAACTTCTTAACATTTCATTATAAAAGTAGATTTATTTTAAATACTTTTAAGTACACACATTTTACTTCATGCTCCTTTTTATGTGGACTGACAATCTTTATCTTCTACTCCATTTATATTTAATGTTCCTAATGATATATTTGGGTTTAAATCTATCATCTCACTTTATGCTGTTTGTTTCAACTATTCCATCTTTATTTTTTCTCTTCTTATTTGCCTTTTTTGGATTGATTGTTTTCTACCATTTTATGTTTTTCCTCAACTAGTTGGAAAATTATATACTCTTATTTTTATTATTTTAATGGTTACTCTAGAAATTATAATATACTTTCTTAACTTGGGTCCTCTAGAAAGTAGAACCTGAGGCAAAGATGAAAGTGTTGTTCCTTTACTTGGGAGGTGCAGATCCAGGAGAATGAGGGTGGGGAAGAAAAAGGAAATTGAGGCAAGGAAAAAATTGACGCAGTGTGTTACCACAGTGGCCAGGCTTAGTGACAAGCTGTGAAGATTCATAGGAGTCTCCCAGCAAGTGTGTTCACTTTGAGAGTGGGACTTCTCCAGAACTGCTCCCCTCTGAGCAGTTCATTGAAGGAAGGAAGGTAGGAGTAATACAGTTTCTTCTTCCATCTCACATTCCCATTGGTTAAGGTTTGCTACACAGGGCTGTGTCATCTGGTCCTTTGGCAACTGCTCAGGAAGCCAGATCTTGTGCTCAGTGGTGTGATGTTGCAGCCGGCTCTGCAAGGTGGAGGGGCACCTCAGATCAGGTAGGCTTGGTGTGCTTCAATTTGGACTCCAGCCAGCTCAGGAAGCTGGGCAACGGCGGCAGCAGTGTGGAATAGGAGGCAAGCAACACCTTGGAAAAAAGAAAGCAGCCAAGGGAATCTGAGGAGGCATTAGGAGTTTGTGTCCAATACTTCCATAACATCAAAATCTAAAGTTAATATCTACCTTTACCCTTCCACAGATAATACATTTAACCTCATTTACCTCCTTTCTCATTTATATATTATTGTCATATATCTCTTTTTTGTTTCACAAGACATTAATACTTGCTTTAGTCAGTGTTTATTAAGATTTAATAACATTTACCACTTTTTTGACTCTTCATTTCTTCTTACATCGCAGATCTATTTAAGATCGTCACCTGAAGTACAACCTTTAGAATACACTAGTATTCAAGGTATATAGTATGCTCCCTATTATGTGAGGAAGAAGGAAGAATAGACTATATTTTTGTATTAGAGAAAAGATACTGGAAAACAACAGGAAATCAATGAAACCGAAAGTTGGTTCAACAAAATCGAAAAATCTTTAGGTAGATTGACCAATAGGAAAAAAAAAGAAAACTGAAATTACTAAGATCAGGAATAAAAAAGCAGATATCGCTGTGGACTTTATAAAAATAAAGATTGTAAGGGGAGATGAGTGAACGTTGATGGGTGTAATGAACATGTTCTAAAATTGATTGTGGTGACGATCATTCAACTCTATGAACATACTAGAAACCATTGGAAGTTGTGGTGAAGCAAATGAAAATAATGTAGCTAATGTTAGCTGTTAGTGTGGGCCTGATTAATAACACAAAAGCAATCATGTTTATCAGGTAAGGTAGTAAGTGTGGAGCTGGAGTTTGGAGAGGAACTGTAATAAAATTTCTTTTTCATTTATTTGGGTCAGTTCAAGCAATATATTTTCTACCTAAATGTGGTAGTGTGTGTAGTGTTTCTATTTTGTTGTGACCTGTATGTGGCAACATGCACTGTTTCTATTTTGTTGCGACCTCTTTTGCCCTTGAGAATAACTATCTATACAAGGTGAAGACTGGCAGTACTATTTGGAGGCTTAGTACATGCAGACTAAGGGAAAGGCCCTGGGACTGAAAATCTACCTCCATAAACTTAGGACAGGGAAAGACGGAAGAAAGAGGCTGGCCACTCCAGTATGTTAATTAGTACAGTTTGTAAGAGAACTATACATACCAGGAGTGTCTTAGGCAGCTACAAGATGAAATGGACTTGTACTGCTTGGAAGGCACCCAAGTATTATATAGAACAAGGTGAGATAGTTACCAGTGCTGGTGGATGACTAGTCCTGGGTACAAGTAAATGCTTTACATGTTTGACCAGATCAGGACAATGGCCTGTCCCAGAAACCAGCACATAGTGGGAGGCAGGGAAGGACTACTGGTTTATGTCAGAATGAGCATTGGTTATGATCAGTCTCCAAGTGGGGTTAGTGGGAAGCAAATCTCCCCCTTCTGTCCTAGGGCCAGCTCATGGGTCAGGCAGCCATTGTGTCTTGGAATAGTCTCTCCTCCACAAAACTAAAGGAAAATGTTTAGATTCAAAGCATGTAAGTCCTGTATTTTAGGACCAGCTGTGACCCACTATATACCTGAATACATGTCGTAATCAAAACACATGTCACAACAGTGAGGGGACAGCAGGATTTCTGCTTACAATGGCAGGAAAGAAGAACCATAATCATTTTGTAAGATTTTGCAATACTTTTGAACTTCCTTATGTCTGTGGTCAAATAGATTCAGGTGTCTGTATCTCTGTAATGATTGGCAAATTCATAACATGAAATTGATGCAGGACAGGGCAAATTTCCCCAAGGGTGGGAGAGACCAAGTTCTGTACCGTGAGAAGAGTCCTTTGGTTGGCAGAGAGTGTAGAGTGTAGTGTGGAGAATGGGTTGTTAGCAATCCCAGCAAAAATCTTCCTTTGTTCTGAAGGTGTCCTCTTGGCCTGGCTGCAGGGCTGAGCAGCATATTGCAGTCTCTGATTATGGCTTTATTAACATTTTAATTCTCTTGCTTCCTCCCTACATTAAACTGATTTCATGAATGGTGACAAAGAAGGGTACTGCCAGTCTTCAGGAAGTGAAGTGGTAGAATTGCAAGGCCTTTAATCAGTGGCAGAGTTTAGGAGAAAGGGCAAGACGTTTGGATCTGTGGGGCCTAGAGTAAGGAAGAAAGGGCATAGGAGGTTGTCATGCTTC